GCACTTTTTTTTTGGTTAATAAAAAAGGCTAGGCTGCAAGAGTTTAGTGAAAACCTGACAAGGGCTCTGGGCAAAGCATTTACTTTTCCTGGACCTCAGCTGTGAAGCAGGGAGCACAAGGACCTCTTTTCCCCAATTTTAGGCTTTAGGGGGCACAAGTTCCCATCCAGCCGTACAGCCACAGCTGCAGCGGGGTTTGAGTGACCAATCTGCAATTCACAGCAGAGGAAGGCTGCGCTGTTCCCATGTGCGTTTGAGAGGGACGCAAAAATGCCAGGAAGCCAAGGGACAGACCCAAGGGTGCTCAGTCTGCAGCACAGAGCTGTGTCCCGGACACTGCAACACTTCACCTCCATCTAGCAACATGGTGATCAGACCTTGCTACAGTACTCAGTCTGTCTAATACTATTTCTGTAATCACTGGCTGCCTGAATTCCAGGATACTGCTCTCCTAGGAGCTATGAGTTAAGCATCTCAAAAATCTGGTCCTTCGTGTGTACAAATGGATCCATTTATTGCATCCTCATTAAGAGTCCGAGATTGGAATTTCACAAAAAATGATCTGCACTATTTCCTTTCTCCTTTCACTAACAAAAATCTCCTCTGAGGATTTCTTTAGTCAGCTTTCTGACTGCAGCGTGCCCTTATGGTCACTGTAGGATCTGGGCATCTTCCTGTTGCTGCCAGCAGAAAGCAGCTCTGAGGGTGAGGATGTTTTGCTAGTGGAGTTGTCCTTCAGGCAGAATATTAAACTACTCTGCCATCTGTTTTGCAGGGATTATTCTGGTGAATGCTAAAGATCCCTTGAAAGCATTTTTATAGTGTCCCTGTACTGCTCCTTATCCTTAGTATTCATATAACCTCACCCTTCAGCTGTTGACTTTGAGAGTTTTTCCTTTCTGAGCATGGAAAGGCAAAGAGAAGGATTTGGATGTCAGCTCCCAGCCTTGGCTGTCTCCCCACTGCATACATATGTGCACCCACAGCTCCCTTCAGCTCTGGCTCCCACAAAGTAACAACTTTACTTTCTTTACTTTTCCAGAAACTCCATCATACCCCAAGGTTCAATATATCTCATGAGAAATCACCTCTCCATAACTGCCCTGCTCACTAGTTTGCTATGAAGTCTGTTGTCTGCTGGAGCTCAGCTCTCTATCAAGGCCCAGACTCTTCATTTAGTGCCAAGTACAAGCAACTCACCCTTCTCTGCATCCCCTCCAAGTTCTGCTGCCCTCCAGCCCGCAGTTTATCACCTGAGTGTGCCAAGTGCCTCCCTTATATGCTCTTTCACAGGGGCAAACTCAGGTGTTAAGCTGCTCTTCTTAATGATCCCTTTCCCTAGAGTAGATACCATTTCTATTATGAGTATATCCAAGACTTCAGGTTACTATTTTAGGTTGCAGAGCTCAAATGACTGAATTCCTGGCTAATTATGCAGCATCTGAGCTGACTAAAGAGCTAAGGAGTGCAAGAAAACTGCAAGGTGAATAGTGTGTATTAAAGAGTTGCTGTTAAATAAATCAGAGTGTGCAAGATACAAGGCTAAGTGAAGGATGCTTGGTAGCATCGGGGTAACTGATGGGATAGACTGGTTGGTGAGGAAATAAGTTTAACGTAAATATGAAGCAGAATACAGAGGAAAAGCTATAGTGCAAAAATTACTTAGAATGGAAGAAAAAGCAAGAAAGGTAGCTGTCAGTTTAAAAGAGCCCAAGGTTGTAACAGGCTCGATGTGATGCATGTATTTGTCTCAAACTCTCATACATCACTGTGAAGGGTAATTATAGCAATCCAAGCCTGCAATCTTTATGAGAAGTCATGATTTCGCATCTAAATGCTAAATGGGGCTGCTAATATGAGTAAGTGTAGCTCAGCTTGAGTGAAAGGGTGTTAAAGAATCAGGTCTGGAGTGAATCAGCCCATGCATATGTGGCAGCAAAAGGAAACAAGTAGCACTAACTATCCAAGTAAGGCATTTAAGAGTCCTAAGTTACAGCCTGCCTCTGGGCACTGCCCCTTCTCCTAGGGTGACCCCAGAAAATACTCATCCCACAACCTGAATGGGAATCCAGTGACTATTATTTACCACGACCTGTTTTCTGAATTACACATTCTTCCTGACACAAGTGGCTGTCACTGGTCTACGAGACTCATCACTGGTCTATGAGATCGTTATTTCCTATGCTGCCCAAGATGTAAATGATCCCGTAAGGTAAATAACAGTCTTTGTGTGTCAGTGAAAGAGCATGGATGCTTCATTAGGTCTTTTCTAAGTTTATGATCTTCCTTGCTCCTGTTATTGTGGGAGGAAAAGAGCCCAGCTTCCAGTCTTGACAGCTTTTTAACAGAGAACGCAAAGATTTCCAGGCTTGGTCTTCCAGAACGTACTTTGACCTTTTGAAAAGGTAGGTGTAAGGCTAGGGGTAGGGTCTGTGGAGACCCAGAATCTGATCACTTCTCTTATTGATCATTAGTGTTATTATTCATTTTTAAACCACTTCTGTAGCAACCAGAAAGGGACCAATATGATGAGGTCACAGCACTTACTGCTCTGATGTTTGAGGTCACTTTGAAACATAACCTGCCAACACATGATATTTAAAGACTTCCAAAGCAAGGCCTAATGTTCCTTAGCACATATTGTTCTTTTTCTTTCTTTTTTTTTTTTTAAAGACTATTTCCCCTGCTGTTCAAAGGAAAATATGTCTCTGAGGAACTACGTTTTTACTGCCTTGGAGAACATGATGTTCAGTCATGATACAAATCTTTGTGTAATCAAGAAAGTTAGTTCAAGACTGGGAGGTTCTGAGACTCAAAAGTACTCTTGGATTTAACCATTAGTGGTGACACTCCAGCATTGAAAAAAGAGCTGTAAAACTCACCTAAGTGCCTCTGATGGCTGTCAGATGTATTAACTCCCCTGCACATTAACACCTCCATTGTGGATGCAAATACTTCTCTTTACTGCTATCTGCACTGTAGTCTCCTGATCATTCTAACCAGATCAGAATGATTCTGGGATTTTTATTTTTTTTTTTTACTTTATTGATAGCTCTTTTTTCAGCCCTGGAAGAATGCCCTGCTGCCTTTTTAACTTCATGCAAAATATATTGTGTGATTCAGCATAGAGAGGGAAGAGGAAAGAAAGACATTGAATGCAGTGACAAATGGCAGAGGGGTCAGGGGAAAGGAAGATGCTCTGGCAGGGCTTGCAGAGGCTGTGTCATAATTATATGCCATAAATGTATAGGTAGATAAACAGAAATGCAGCGGAAGCTTTTATGAAGCTTCTTGGAGCAGCTCCCATGAAGAGCATCAGCAAGGCATGGCCATGACTGCATGCAGAGGAGAAGCCAAGCTTCTGCTCTTCCTTTTATCCTGAACATTTGGGCTGCCAAAAATTGACAGCATTTGCAGAAGGAGTGATGTCCTTCTGAGCATTTTGTGAGTGCTTCTACTGAATTTCTCTTCTGAAGTCATTTTAACTGCATGTTGTTTAAACCCATACCGTCTGCCAAATAAGATTCGGAAGTGCAGAGGTAGCACTGCTGTTTACAGTGTGTGCATTTGAGTACACTTCTATAGGTCAACTGACTGTGTAGGCAACAACACCCACATACATACAGACATGTGGCTGCCTGTGTCATTTCGTAGCTCATTCACACTTTATTCACCTCAAAGCTCAAAGTGAAGTCCACACTTTGCGCATGCCTACGCTGCGCTGGTTCCTCTAGCGTGACTCTATTCAGTTTCCCACGTGAGTCTCCTTTCAAACTCCTTGTCTACAGCTGTGTGCGGCAACAAATGCAGGAGAACACTGGAAAGCCAGCTGGCTGAAAACCACTTGAAAAATAATGGAAATCAGGTGTCCAAAATGAGAATGTGTTTAGCTGTGACTTGGCTTCCCTTGGTTTTCCCTGCAGAGAGCAGTGATTCTATATTAGCTTTGTTTTTCGCTCTATGTGAAAAACATTCTCCGTTGATGGTTAGATATAGGAAGAACAGAGCCTGGTGTTACTTTTGGTGACTTTATCTTGGCAGACACTGCATTTTAGTTGCACATCTGTCATACAGACGGAGAGACACTAGGGAAAAAAAGAAGCCGTTAAATAAAATTAAGTTTGGGATCTGGATGAAAAAGAAAACCAAGCTCATATTTTGTGTCATTATGATGTTAGCCAGTTGTAGGTACCAGGGATGAGCGTGCTCTGGGTAGATGGATAGAAACATATTTAGCAACCTGAGAGCTCTGTTCCAGCAACCCAGCCCAGTACTGGTCTGTAGAAACTGGTTTCTGTAGAAACCAGGGCCACATGTGGGAGGCAGGACTTCTGGGAACAACAGAAATCGGGACCACACATTACTTTACTTTACATTCTGCTTTAGGTTCCCACTTAATTTGGTAATTTTTAATGCTCTCTTTTGTTCTGAGGCTTTGGGTTTTGACAATGCAAAAACATTCCTCAAATACTCTGTTGCTTTTTTGGGGGGGGGAGGCAATGGAAAAGCATGTGTATTCAAAATGTTGGGCATTAAACTCAATGCATATGTGCTTGCAAGTTTACTGCTGTCTCATAGCTATTGTTTCCTCTTTCTCAGGACATGACCTTCACCACCACAATGAATCAGGAAAAACCTGTCAAATCCTCCTAGCTCCCTGGCTGTGCAATTTGCTGTTCCCTTGCTGCTCGCCAGACAGCAGATCTTCCCACCCAAAGCACAGAAGAAGGCAGCAAGTCACAAATGACAGCTGAAAAGTGAAGCATTATCAACACCCGTGTGAGACTCTGTCAAAGAGGAAAATTATTAGAAAACATTATAGAAACATTAAATTATATAGTAATTCTCCTTCTGAGCCTGGGAAGCTGTGTATCCCGTCAGTTCCAAAGAACAGAGAGAAGATATGTTCAAGTAACCAATACCAGAAATTGAACAAATCAATACATATATTAGAGTATCTACACACAGTGATCTACAGCATTTAGAAATCTCCATTCAGAATGGATGATGGATATAGAAACACAAACCTCTACCAAGGAGGCAGAGGGGCAAACCAAGTCTCAGATGACTACAGGTACCAGGATGGTAACTATGAAGGGTACGCACCCAGTGATGGCTACTATCACGGTGGGGATGAGCCCGCTCATGAAGAAGATGCCCAGAGTGATGTTACAGAAGGCCACGATGAAGATGATGAGGTCTATGAGGGGGAGTACCAAGGGATCCCGCATCCAGATGACATTAAAGAAAAGCAGAAGAAGCGAGCTCCTGCTGTGGCTGATGAGTACAGAGACCGTGCTGACCTTATGGCAGAGAGGATGGAGGACGAGGAGCAACTTGCACACCAGTACGAGAACATCATTGAGGAGTGTGGCCATGGACGCTTCCAGTGGACCCTCTTCTTTGTTTTAGGATTAGCACTGATGGCAGATGGGGTGGAGGTGTTTGTGGTTGGATTTGTTCTTCCCAGTGCTGAGAAGGATATGTGCTTATCCAGTTCGAACAAAGGGATGCTAGGTAAGTGCCACTTGCAAACGGCTCTTCTAATGCAGTAGGCAGCAGATAGAACATCTTTTTCTAGTGGCCAGCTGATTTCAGGATTTTTTGATGAATCTCCTCTTGTCTTGTATGTCATACATAGTCATGGCTGAGTGGATGTTACTCAAAAGGGGTTTGCATGGGGCTGAGAAGGCAGCTGCTCAAAAGCAGCAGAATTGCACCACATCTAAGCTCACCTTATGAATGTGCTGTGGCCCCAGTACTGGTCACTGCAGGCTGGATCTGAACAAGGCAACTCCCAGTCAGCAGGTCTGCAGGGCAAAATTCACAGGGGTGTTCAGGGACAAATAAATGAAAGGTTAAAGGTGGCTTTTCCTATGTGAGGACCTAGTGACTCAGATTTCAATGCTTTTAGAAACTAAATTGTAATGAGAAGCCCACAAAGCAGTACCATCCAAATATGAGAGATATAAAAGAGAGGGATCTGTTTGCTCTGGATCACTTTGCTGTTACCGTGTGGCTTCTGATGCTGCCTTGGTCTCCAAAGTTTTCCACTTTGCCCATGTTCCCCTTTTCTTTAGCACCAAGCCCCAACTGACAGATCAGCTGTGCAGGCAGTTCCTTCTGCACACTAGCTTCCTGGTCAGAACAGTTTGCTAATACGTACTGGGTCAGAAGTAGCTGATGGAGGTTTCTTCTTAGGTCTGTGGAATGCCGTTAATGTGCTGCCTGGGGATTAAAGGCTGAGGCTGCTGGCAACATCCCTTTTGCATCACCATTGACACCTCCCTGTGGTCAAAATACAGAGGCTTAGTTATTGTGAGTGAGACTGAGTGGACAGGTTTGGATGAACAACTTTTTCCTTTGCACATTATAAGCCAAGGACGGCAAAGTCTCCCAGATCTCCAAGAACCAGGAAAGCATCCAGCATGGCCCATAGTGAGAGCCAGCCGTGCAATAGTGCAGCGCATCTGGAAGGAAAATAAAGTAATTCTTGGAAGAACTGCTTTAGGAGGGGGATAGAGTGTCTGGATGGACATGTACCGAGGTTATAGGGGAATGATCAGGGCCTGTAGTTCATACATTCTGGCCCAGAAGACTTGCCTGATGGAAGGTAAATGCAAATTTTGGATTAGATCCCGGCCATTGACTCCATCTATTTGCATTATTTTCATGTGACAAAGGCGATAGATAATTATCCTTATATAGACCTCTTATCTTGCTGTACCGAGGTCCTAGACACCTTTCTCTTCTGTTTCTTCTTTTTTTCTTTGAACTTGAGGATCAGGTTTATTTCCATAATTAGCTAGATTTTTACTTAGTTTTGTGCCTTAAAGGGTTTGCTAACTATTTTTGCTTCACAAACCACTGAAAAATTCTAGCTCAAAATATCTCAGGTCAAATATCTAAAAGCAAATCGCTCACAATTGAATCTTGATTTCAAAGGGACTTCCAAATTCACCAGCTCCTTATGGGACACCAGGCTGGGTGCCTTTTCAGTGATGAGACCTTTTTTGAAAAGCAGGTACTTTATTTTGGTGACTATATGAAAGCTGAGATCTTCTGAAACTCTGACCCCATAAATATCTATCTCCATAGAGCTCAAGCTCTGGAAGGCACCCAAGTCAGAAAACTTCAAATGTCACAAGAAAATCTATCTTTGAAGTATTTCTGGCCCAACCACAGGTAAAAATGAAAAAGAAATCTCCCCAGAGAGCTTGTTCTGTTTTTTCCAGCTCAATATTTGCAAGGCTGAAAGTTCAGGGTGTTCTGATAAGCTCTGAATAAGCAAGGAGACATTTGGGTCCATATCCGATCCCAGCTCCAGCCTCCCGCGCATTAACCAAGCTAATCTGGAAGTGCTAATTAGGGGAAGAGCACTCTTTTTGCTGCGTTTCCTGCCCACTTTTAAAGACAACTTTTGAGAACCTGGTTTTGCAGAACAATTTCTTCTGTCCTTAGCTTGGTTTTTTGGGGGATCTGCTGACAATGCTTGTATTCACACTATTTTGTGGCTTAAAGATGAGGGAAAAATAAGAATTTTCCTAAAACCAAGAAAAGTTCATTCATCTTAGTTTGAAGCAGAGAGGAAAGTGGGTATTTATGGTAGCACTCAGTTGTTACTGATTGGTGTTGTACATGAGGCAGGTCTCCAATTCAGTCTGTCTTGTTTGTTAAACATAATTTCTTGTCTGCCAGATATTTCTCTGCTGCAGGTTTCCTCCCGGATCTGAGGTTTGTGAGATGATCCTTTGTGAAAATGAATTAAGCGTGGCTTAGAAAGCCTTAGATTGCAGAGCGGTGCACTGATACAAATAATGAATACCCCAGGGCTTCTAGAAGTGAGGGTGTGAGGAGGCTGGAGCGGGTACGGGGCTGCTGGAAGGCATAAGAGGGGAAGAGCGCAGGTCTCTGGGTCTGGAGAGGGGGAGGAGGAGAGCTTTCTGCCAACCTAAAAGCAGCAGCAGGAAGCAGAGTGTGTTGGAGGTTTGGCAGGCAGCAGGGCAGTGCAGGGACGTGAGGTTTGGGTGCAGACCTGCCTCCAGCACAGCCTGGTGTCCCAAGTACTGCCCCTGCAAGAGGGCTTCATCCCTTTTCTGAGCACCTGTGGGTACACAGCATGATAAGGACAGACAGATACCAGCTCCTGAAGGGAAAGACTGGGGAAGTGCTATTGATGGAGACAAGAACATAATCTTCCTCAAAACCTTTCCTGAATTAGCTTCAGCACCCATCCACCTGCAACTAGAGAAAAAGATCCCTCCTAACAAAGCTCAGAGCCTCCAACACATACTCATTTCCCTCAGTATTTCCATTCCCTCAACAGTCTATAGGTTGTGCTATTACAAATTGATCCTGCTAATACTCAGGGTTCAATAACACTTATAGGTTGACTTGGTGGCAATCAAAGAACTCTTCACCTCAATTTCTCCCTAAAGTGCAGTGACAATCTGGCAAGTGTGTGTCTGCACAGAATGAACGGAGGGCTGATTAAAGAAGGCACAGCTTTCCCTCAAATTATCATGAGGTTTTAGGGAAGCAGGGTTATTATCCACACATGAGTTACTGTCCTTTACCTTATCCCCATGTACCAATAGATGTCTACGGATAAGCTCGTGTTTATTCCCAAGCGACCGTTCGTCTCAACACATCTTTGTTAAGGAAACATAATCAAGTTATCCCAGGTGGACATAAGGTTGCTTCCAGGCAGCTGCTAATATTTAAACACATGAGAAGGTCTCAGCCATAACAAGAGAGGCCAGAAGGGAAAAAATGGGAAATAAATCAGTTAAGTATTCAAACTCCCACAGAAATAGGAAGGGACAAATAGGAGAGCTAAAGTAGATGCCCCCTAAAGACCAATTTAGTGAAGTTCAGCTTCCGCTAAAAGGACATTAAATACTGTGTATATTGCATATTTTTCCTCCCTCGGAAAGCAAGCATGGAAAAATATCAAGCAAATTATGGCCAAATTATGCAAAAATTACAAATAAACACATGCCCACAGTGTTTCATGAAATGTGCGAAATGAATATGACACATCTTAGAAAACGTTTACATTTGGTGCTGAAAATAAACATCTCACCATCAGATGCAAATTAACAGCTATTTTAGCCCTAAATATCCCTAGTGGGACAAAAAACATATTTGGAGTTTTTCTGTTATGCGAAATGCTATTTTGGAGATGATTGCAGGGATATTACAAAAAAAAAAAAAAAGCATAAAAAAAAAGAAAGAAACAACAACTGTATATAATCTAGCAGTTTGATTTCATCAATTTTTAACACTAGTTGTTAAGAACAAGTTTGGTAACTTGTAATGACATTATTTTTATGTATTCATTTGATAAATCTGCTTTGCTGAGCTTTCACCACCAGCAGTTATAATAATAATTAATCTTTTAAATTTACTGAAACAGAATATTCCTTTTCAGTGTAACACATCCTGTCAGAAACAGCAATTTTTTTACTTGCTAAGGATAATCATATGAAGAGTCATAAAATTTGTATTTACTTCTTTGCTGAAAGGCACACAGTATCCTTATTTGGAGAAATATCATGTAGATTTATATCTTCAAGTGCTTTTAATGACCTCTCCTAGGACTAAAAATTATATTTGCAAGTGTAGAGCAGTAAATGCACAGCAAGTATAAAAGATAGTGTCACAGTAATGTTTTAAAATTTTTCACAGCCTCCATATAAAAAACACAAGGCACAGTTAAAGCATCAGACTCCCCAGATCCCCAGAGCTGCGGTTGCGTTATCATCATTTCACAGTTCAGTAAACTGAGACAAGAAAATTTTGAAGGGCTTTGCCCATAACTGCAGAACAGCCACACCAATGCTGAGAATAAAATCAGTCTTTCAGGCACACAGCTCCCTTTTTCTTTTCATGATTTAATAATAATATTTGAAGGAGGATAACATCTTATAAACTCTCAGCCTCACAGTGTTAGAGTCTGAAAAGAAAAAAGATCCTATTAGTAATTATGCAGTTATGTAGCAGTTCAAGCTTGGCTGTGTGAGTCAGGTTAAATAGGATGCGTAACAATATCCCTGCTTTTAATTGTGTGAAGAGGATGTTTTATGATCAACTGAGATAAAATCTGGCCTCAGCTTCTCATTGACCTGAATTCACCTGATATGACAGTAAATCCTAATCCCCTCGGCAGAGCTCAGTGGCATTTCTCCACTTTTTTTTTCCTGGATAAGCGCAGACGAGCCCAGTTGTGTCTCCCTTGCTCTGCCGTGGCTCGTGGCTGCCTCTTTTGCACCTCCACGGCCATGAACCCCCAGCACAGCAGCCAGCTAAACCCTGGTGAGACCTGTTCGTGTCCGTGTCCATGTCCACGTCCACGTCCGTGTACCAAGCACTGGGCATGAATTCGTGGCTGCAAATTTGCTCTTGGGTGAAAACACTCCTTGCAGGCCAAGGAGCATCATAATTGTGAGTGGTAGGTATATGCTAGGGGAAAAAAGGTTCTTTGGTGATTTGGGAACACCCTGAATCATGTGCAG